CCCCCCCCCTTACCTTCGGGGGCAACGATGACCGCACGAAAGCTTTGTGCCGCACAAAACCTGGCAGCCTCCATCGGGGCAGTGCTCATCGAAGGCCTCGGGAGTGGCCAAGTCCGCGCGCGTCTTGTGGGCCTCGCAGGCTACCGGCAGCCCGTCCCTGTAGACGTGTCCCCCAGCCTCGAGGAGCGACAGGAACTCGAGCCACAGGCGCTGGCCGGGCTTGTTCCGGACGGAATCCGACATGAAGAAGTCGATGTCGCCGAACATGATCATGCCGTGCCTGAGAGGGGGTTCCGGTTTCGCGTAAGGCGGGGGGTGTCGGGGTATGGACACGTTGTCGGCCATGTTGAGCACTTTCACAGAGCCCGGGTGGTGGGGGTTCTGTGACATGCAAAAAAGTCGCAAGAAGGCGCCTGCGCGGGCTGACTCACCCACCACTATCAACTACACTGCTGTAGTTCGAAATTAGAAATTAGGAGGTGCCACTGCACAGTTCTAAAGCCGAGCACGGACTACGCGACGAAGGCGCGCCTACCGCTGGCGGGCTTACGTGCTGTTGAAGCACTTGGGCACGACCACACCAACACACCGACACACCTCGCTCGAGAGATGGCAACATTGAGCCTGTTCGGGTCTCCGACGAACCCCATCTGCCCGCCGCTGTTACTGCGCACGAACGAGCTGATGATGACATCGCTCTCCTCGCCCTGGTAATTGTCCACTGTAACCCATCGTGGCGTCAGAGAAGGAAGAAAAGAAAACAGCGCAAGAAGGGAGTGAGGCCACAAGCTCCACTTTCGTACATCCCTGGGTTTTCCACTTCCCCCATTCTAGACTTAAATGGGGTGGCGCTGTTGGCAAAGACTTGCAAAACACGCCACACCAAATATAGCCCCGTAGTATGCGCTACCAAAGACGTGTGACGCATGGATGCGTGGAGTGAGGATAGCTGTTTACGGAAACCTCACAGTTTGAGTGATGTAGGAGATTGCCGGATACAAAGACGTGTTGAGTGATTATAGCTGTATACTGAAACCCCAAGGGTTGAGTGAGGTTTGAGATTGCCAGCACATAGGCGGGTTGAGTGGGGATAGCTGCATACTGAGACCCCACGGGTTGAGTGATGTTGGGGTGCCGGACACATAGACGCGTTGAGTGAGGATAGACACATACTGAAACCTCACAGGTGATTTGTGATGGAGATTGCCGGACACGTAGACGTGTTGAGTGAGGATAGCTGCATGCTGAAACCTCACAGATGCATTGGTTTTTGAGTTTGCCAGACACATAGACGCGTTGAGTGGGGATAGCTGCATACTGAAACCTCACAGATGGAAGATTTTTGAGTTTGCCAGACACATAGACGCGCTGAGTGGGGATAGCTGCATACTGAAACCTCACGAGTTGAGTGATGTTGGATAGTCCCGGACACATAGACGCTTTGAGTGAGGAAAGACACATACTGAAACCTCACAGGTGATTTGTATTGGAGATTGCCGGACACATAGACGTGTTGAATAAAGATAGCTGCATACTGAAACCTCACAGATGCATTGGTTCTTGAGTTTGCCAGACACATAGACGCGCTGAGCGAGGATAGCTACATACTGAAACCTCACGAGTTGAATGATGTTGGATAGTGACGGACA